CTCTGTCAAATAAATAAATAAAATCTTTAAAAAAAAAAAAAAGAAAGCTTTTTCTCTGTCAGGACAGTCTATTCAAATTACTTTTTGTGTACTTCTTGGAGAAAACTTTTGAGGCAGTTTATATAAAATAAAAATATTTGAATATGTATACATAAAATTTTACGTGTACTCAGCAAGAACTGGACAGTGTTCCAGTTTAGAGAATACTTACATGTTGATATTGTCCCTTTAAAATAATGCACAATAATGTCTAGTGACTTTTTTTTATATTAATTCATAGAACTCACCAATTCATTGTCTTTCCTTTTTCTCGTGGTCTGTTTCAAGTTCCATTAATTTTTAACATTAATATTTCTGTTCCTCATAATTAAAGTAACCAAGCTTTATTTTGTTTTGCCATTGTTCCTAAGATCCTTAACTTTTTAAAAATGAGGATGGGAATAGTCTTATCTAAAGTAGGTTTAAAATGGTGCATAACAAAATTAACTATACTTAACAAAAAGCTAACTAACTTATTAAAGTGTATAGCCTTACCATTGTGATATTTGAACCCCTTGTTTGAAAGCAGAAAATACCAAAACATGATGCCTTTACTCTGTGAAAATGAGCTGGTTTCCTTTCTGGGTAATAGAGATTAGTCATAGTTGTTTCTATTATTGTTTCTTCATTTTTGTATAGAGCTTTAAAATTTACAGTGCTTTCATGTCCATTGTCCTATTTGAGCCTCATAGCATCCTGTGAGGTAGGTGGTATTTTTCTCTTTTCTAAAGATGAGAAAAGTTAATTAATTAATTAATTAATGGTGAGAAAATAGAAGCCCAGAGATCATGTAACTTACATAATATCAGCTAGTAAGTAGGATAACAGTATTAAAAAAAAAAAAGATTTATTTATTTATTTTAGAGAGAAAGAACATGAGCAGTAGGGGCAGAGGGAGAGGGAGAGAGAATCTCAAGCAGACTCTGTGCTGAGTGCAGAGCCTGATGCAGGGCTCGATCTCACAACCCTGAGATCATAACCTGAGCTGAAACCAAAAGTTGGATGCTTAACGGATGATGGCACCCAGGTGCCCCAATAGTATTTTTTAATATACTTTTTTCTAAATATCCCATAGATTTCTTTTTGTTTGTTTGGTTTGAAGTTTTTATTTAAATTCTGGTTTTTTAAATAGATTTCTGATTTAATAAATTGTGGCTATTTTTCTGAGTAGATTATCTTTAGTAAATCTTGTGATTTACATAACTAGTTTATAGAAGATTTAGACAAACATTAAAAAACAGAGGTGTGCTTGTTTAATTGAGCACGGTGTAAAAGATAACTTGATATTCATTCACTATGAGTTAGGACTACTTTTACTAGAATATCTCTTTCTATAGAGCAGTTTTGTCCTCTGTAATACAGATTATGACCTTGATATGGAATGGAATTCCGAAGAGAAGGTCCAGAAATTTTTTTTTGTGTGTGGGGTTTTTTTGAGAGAGAAAGAGAGCACGTGAGAGTGCATGTGTGAGTAGAGGAGTTGGGGGAGAGGCAAAAGGGGAGAGAGAATTTTAAGCAGCTCCAGGCCCAGCACAAAGCTCACCTTGGAGCCCAACACCAGGCTCAGTCTCAGAACCCTGAGATTATAACCTGAAGCAAAATCAAGAGTCAGTCTTGCCCGACTGAGCCACCCAGGTGCTCCCCAGAAATGTTTTTGAATATTGTTTATGCCTCTGGGGAAATTAAAACTGTAAATAAACATTTGAAGAATAAAAATATATATACATATTTTGTTAAAAGCCAGTCATATAAATAGGCCTAAAATGTTTTCAGAGGTATATAATAAGGACTTTTAAAAAGCAATCTTTAATTTGATATAACTGTCTTAGACTTATTTTCACTACAGTAACAAAGGACCGTTTAATTCTTACATTTTCATTTATCTTACACTAAAGAGTCATTTACTTTTACAGGCTATATAAGTATAACATACAGTATATGATATCTATACAATGTAAAAAAATAGACTTAGTTCTAGAAGTTTTAAAATAAGTATATTGGATAAGAGAGGATGGTTTACTTGTCTCATACCTTGGCTTACATATAAAATGTGATTTCTCATGAGTTTAATTTTGGTTTATAGCTTTTAGATATAATTAGTGTAGTAGTTGGCTTATGTAAACTACTTATATATAAACTACTATAAATAGCTTAATTTACTGCTATATGAAAATAGTTTGTATGTTACTTTAATTGCATAGCTAATTTTTTGCAAGACTCTACAATAAAGTTGAGAAGTGCTGTTATGACTATAACTTAAAGGAAGTGGAGTTTATCTCACTAACTTTTTTAAATCAATAATATTAAAAGAGAAGGAACCGTAGATCCTTGGAACAGGATCATATTTTACTAGTTCAATTCAAAACATAGATCTTAATTATATACTGTTAAGCTACAGTATTTTATACAGTATAACTACGGAACAAATCATATGTATTAACTCTTATTCTTGCCAAGTTATTAGCTTGTGCTCAATGCAGACATTGAATTAAACTCTCTTGGGTTAAACCTGCATTCCTTTAAAGTATAGCACAAAAGTCCCAGAGTCCTCTGTATTAAAAGGTCCCATAGTTAAATAAACATAACATACTATATTCCCCTCTGAAGCATCACAAAATTTACATTAGTACATTAAGTGCTGAGAATTCTGCAGTAAAGAAACCTATTCAACTTTGTTTAATCCAAATACATTTGGGCAAAGGTGCTTGCTTTCATCAGATACTTACTAACATGCCACACTGTCCTGCATTTTGAGAAATACTAACCAAGGCTTAAACCCATAGCTTGGTTATTTGCATTTATCCACATAAAAACTTTTCAGCATTTTAAAATAAATTTCATAGGAAGAATTCATTAAGTCTGTATATGTTTTTTTCCCTTCCTTTTTAGATTAGATTTTTTTTAAGATTTTATTTATTTATTTGACAGAGAGAGACACAGCGAGAGAGGGAACACAAGCAGGGGGAGTGGGAGAGGGAGAAGC